CATTGTATCTTCCCTATATTATCATATTTACAATATTAGATAAAATTCAGGGTGAAATTAATACTTCAAAAATAATTCCTACAGTTAGAGGCCAAAGTTTCCAAGAAAAGGACTTTCATGCTAGGATGTATGAAAATATTTTAAGTGAAGGTATGTCTATAATGGCAATCTTTGCTTTCCTGCATTACCTTAGTGTGGTGGAGACTAAGGTAATGCTTGCGTATTGAGCAATGCTTGCAATCAGATGAAAACAGGTGCTAAAAATCAGCAAGTAGCAAAGCTCTGAATGGAAATAAATGTTTTCTAAAACTGTATTTTTGAAATCATGCTGAATCGTGTTGTGGATATGATATGATTGGTGGCTCAAGGAGAAAACCTCACCAGCTACAGCTATTTTCTCTGGTGAAGCCAGAAGAAAAGTAGACGTCCCAGTGAAATCTGTAGATAATACATCATTTTAGCTGCATCCATAGTAATACTGAACACATAACTCCAGAAACAGCCTGAACAAACAGCACAGATGCCTTGAGAAAGTCTCATTTTAATTTGGGTTTCTCCAAAAGCACACTCAAAATGAATGGAACTTATTTTCTGCCCTTGAAAGGGTCATACATACCTTGCCACTGGCACGTGTATGCCTGGTTCTCTGGGGCTTTATATACAGGAGGTATAATTCAGGTACAAAACAGAATTTGGTAACTATTAAGTCAGAAAGGATCACTAAGGAACTGAAAGAAGGTTTAAATTATAGATTAGTGTTAGGCCATTACATTCTCTATCATTGCCTGGGGTAGTATGTGGAGTTGAAGTGCATCAAGTTAGTATTCCACAGGACAAATATGTACAGGATATTTTACACAAGTAACATGAGTTGTGCAGTTGGGTCAACATCACACACACACACACACACACACACACGTGTGTTGTTAATAGTAATATCACACCAAAACACCTTTCAAAATGATTTACCACATATTAAACTCCTATAACTTCATTTTGCACAGCGTAGGGGTCTCTCTGTGCCAAGTGAGTAATTCATTCCCATAATACCTTACTTACAAGGCCCTAAAACTTAAAAAACAAAAACAAAAAATGACACAAAAAACCACACACACACACACACACACACACACACACACACAAACCATTTTGCTTAACAACATACCTGAAACATCCCTTCACCTTTACCATTACCTTTTCCCTTCTCTTCCTGATTATTGAAGGCTTAAATACAAAAATAATGTGCTATAAATATATAGCTAGTGATCAAAAATAGTTTAAATGTATATACTTTAAAAGACTTGGTGAACAAATGCAATTTTGATATTGTTTAGTTGATATTACAATTGGCCACTAGATGGCACCATTCTTTAAGCAACGAAGGTGACTTTTCTGAAATTTCTTAATATTGGTTACTCTCATTGTATTTTACTTAATGTTCTCTGTATGGTTCTAGTTACAATACTGAATTTTTTATTAACTGAAAACTCTCTTTAGTCTTTTTGCCATTCTAATAAGACTGAAAAATATGAGTGATAGAAGTCTTGTCAGTGAAGCAGCTGCTATAAAAGAACTTAGAACTAAAATACAGTTATTAATTGAGAATCGAGTTGGAATTTATCTTGGAATTTTGAAAATTAAAAGTGTATTTTACCTCTTTGTTATAAATTTCCCACAGGAAAATTTCTTCCTCTCATTTTCAAAATATTTTTTATTAAATATCATTGTAGTATCTACAATATTAATTATTCACGGTGCTAATTCTGTTTTTCAGGGTTTCTTAGTACTTACTCTAATCTCTTATTTGTATAGTTTTGATTTGTTGATGCAGATATCTGAATAAAATATATGCCAGGATGCAAAATAAAGTTTTGTCAGGGATGATGAGCATATTTTCTGAAAATAGTTTATTCTTATCTCGTTCAAATCATTCCTAAAAATCTTCAACTGTCTCACACAAATGAAATACAAAGGCACTACTTGTGCAGACATGGGAGGTAAGACTAGAAGTTGGAAGCATTGTCACTCTGATATCATGTTTAAGGAACTTTTAAGAGTTTGAGAAAATAATAAAAGCAAAACCAAAACTAAGGTTTCCTGTAATGAATGTTCTGGCTCTGCCAGATAAAACCTTCATGCTGCAAAGCTAACTAATTACAATGCAGTAGAGAGTAACAAATGTTTCAAAAAAGAGAAAAGTATGGTTTTCATGCAAATACAGAATGAATGTACAAGAAAACATCTCATAATGATGTTCAGCTGCAATCCACACTCAGGAGGGTGAGGCAGGAGAATGGAAATTTCCAGTCCAACCTAGGCTATATCATGAAACCTTATCTTAAAAGCAAAGAGATACCACGTCCAAATAAAATGACAACAAAGAAAACAGGATGGGAGAAAAGAAGGAAGAAAGAACTGGAGGAAGAGGGAGGGAAGAAATGTAGAAAAGAGAGAGAGAAAGTAAGTTTAATTAATTAATAGAGGGATACGATGGGAAGGCTAGTAGAAGACAGAAATTAAAATATGAAGTTAGTCAAATAGTCAAAATTCTGCTGGAAGAAACTTGATGAAATACAAAAATATTGGTTCAAAGTCAAGCTGCAAAGAAAAGCTCACAAGACTTCTAAACAGGCTGAGCACAGTGGCCAGTCCCTGTCATTTGAAGTACATGAAAGACTGAAATGGGTAGGGCCATAGATCCATGTCAGTCCAAGCAGAAAAACTCACATAATTTCATCTCAGTAAGATAAACTGGATATGGTAATATATATTTGTCACCCCAGCTAGGTTATAAGCCTAAAAGAGGTATACTGTGGTCCAGGATACTAATAAGATTGTACCTCAAAATTCACCTGTGCAAAAGAATACTGGAATTGCGGCTCTTCAGCAGAGAACTAGTACTAGACATTGAGTTCAAACCCTAGCACTGCCAAAAATATATAAAACAAAACAAAAATCAAACATATACATTTGTAGTGAGTTATCAAAACTTCTGGGGCTAAGTATTTGTAATTACAAAGTAATAGTTACTAAAGAATACACTGTGACATTTGTTCAAATGTCACCCATCTTTTCCCTTCGAATTTTCAAATTTTGAATACTTTTACGTAGTCCCATGGGAATTGATCACATATAATACACATATACTAAAATGCTTAAGTGGTTGAACTTAGTACCTTACAGAATTTACCTCACAGAATGTATCTGCAAGTGGACATGCTGGTATTACTTTCCTTTTTTAATTTTTTTATAAAGGCCAGAACTCTGAGAAGTCAGGAACGTTCCTGAGATTCCTCACCAGAAGTGACTAAGTTGAATTATAGTCCTGCTGTTAATAGTCTTCCTCCTGGGAGCACGGAAGTGTCATGTTCTGAAATGTTGTGTGGGAGATTTGGGGATTGCACAGAACAAGGCATGTGAGAGCATACTCCTGCTCCTTTCCCCTTTCCACTTCCTCATTCACGGTCACAGAGACCAAGTTCAAAACCCTGTGCTGGAAAGCTGGACCTAACTCATAGCATTGGTCTTCTCTAGAGTCTACAGCTATCTCAACATCCCTTGGAGCTGATGGTGTCTCTATTGAACCGAAATAAATGGAGAATGTGAAGCGAAGAGGATGGCAAGTCATCACCCAGTGCTAGTAACATCTCTGTAGCACCGATGTGGAACACAACTATGCTAGGTAATATCAATGGGACTGATTAAAAAGTAAAGCTGAGGGCTGGGAATGTGACTTAGTGGGAGAGTGCTTGCCTCTCAAGCTTGAAGCCCTCGGTTTGATTCCTCAATGCTATAGACAGAAAAAGCCAGAAGTGGCATTGTGACTCAAGTGATAGCTGCTAGCCTTGAGCAAAAGAAGCTCAGGGATCATGCTCAGGCCCATAGGGAAAAAAAAAAAAAAGGTAAAGCTGACTTTTGAGCTATGTGTTTTGTTGTCATAATATATATGCTTTGTATTCTTTTCAAAGCATTTATGCCATAGAAATTTAATGTATGGACAAAAATATATCCAAGAAGAAATCTGTGTGACTAAACATCCATCCAAAGAAAATACTCTTTTAATTAATTTTAAAATCTTGTAGTCTTGGAGAAATTTGAGACATGTTCAAATAAACTAAAAAGAGCATGTTAAATTCCTTCAGTACTGTGAGATGCTACAAGATCTACTTCAGTTCCTGTAAAGGTGATACCAAACTGCCAGTAGCTGAGAGGATTAAAAAAACTAATCAAATATTATTATATTATCTATTGGATGTGTAGACACTGCCCTCATTACACACATGCCAATACAGCAACCATTTATAAGCTCTCTAGAATATTATTTCTTTATCTCCATCCCAAATAAAAATAAAAAGTACCCTTATGAGTTTCCCAGTCAAATAAGAAAGGTGTAAAAGCATTGCAGTATTACATTTGCATTTATACTTGCTCTAAAACTCACAGCGAGTTATATAAAACAGGAAAGTATTACTTTTTATGCAGTTAGTCTGTTGTTCAGTGTTCAGCTTCTTCAGGTTTCATGGCTTATAAAGTCCTTCAGGACAGAAGATAATGCTCATAAGCCATCCTGTAACATTTATAGCTTTAAAGGTAGATGTAATTTTAATAATAACGAGCCACATTTCAGGCTCTATTAGGCACAGCTCCCGTTGTCTTTGATTTATTCATCTGTGTGAGAAATTTGAAATTTTCTAAGGTCTAATTGAAAAAAAAAACCTTCAAGTGGTCTTTCGCATTAAACCACTTGCTTTCCACCGTTGCAGAGACCTGTGTTTTCTCCTATGTGCTCCCTTCTATGATTAAATTTCCTGTTAATACAATTGAATTCTTCAGAAAACATCCCTTTCTGATATGATTTCTGTTAATAGAACAGTAAAAGAATTATAATCTAATCCAGATTTCTGTTGGATAATATCTTTGGGAATTCATGTTAATGGCATATGTTATAAATACACATTCACCTGTTCATTACAAAAGAAAAGTCTGAAAATGATACTCACGCAGGTTTAATTGTATAGGCATGTTTTTCATGGACAAAGGCACCAGCAAGACCTCCTGCACCTGAATTTAAATACTGGAGTTGAAATAAGAAGATTCTGTGAGATACATAAATAGATGAGAATAATTAAACAATGTGTTTTATTTGATATTTCTTGAAACCATAACTTTATCATTTCAAAGTATGTTATTATGTGTGATTTTAAAATCTGTGTCACTTTTATAAACAGAAAAACAAGAAGGTCTGTGCAACACTTATTTCCAATTAAACACCAGAAAAAAAAAAAAGAATTTGGAACTATGACTCAAATTGGTCTAGCCTTGAGCAAAGCAGCTCAGGAACAGGCCCTGAGTTCTAGCTCCCATGATTGACTGAAAAAATTAATTAATAATAAAAAATAATAAGCAAGTAAATAAACAAATAAACAAAGAATATGAGGTTGGGAAAAATAGCTTATTTTTTGACACAGGTAGTAAATAGCAGTAATATTTTCTTAAATTTTTCTACAGGTATTAGAGTTAACAGTGAAGTCTAACTGATTTAAAGTGCACATATTCAAAGTTTTCTTTCATAAAATCTTTTTTTATTAATAAGTTTTTTTAATTGTGAAAATACTGTCCAGAGGGGTTACAATTATATGAGCAAGGTAATGAGTACATTTCTCTTTTTTCTTTTTTTTTGGGGGGGGGGTTCCAGTCGTGGGGCCTGAAATCTGGGCCTGGGCACTGTCCTCAGCTCTTTAGCTCAAGGCTAGCACTCTATCACTTGAGCCACAGCACCACTTCCGGCTTTTTTCTTTTTGCTTATGTGGTGCTGAGAAATCGAACCCAGGGCCTCATGCATGCAAGGCAAGCGCTCTACCAATGAGTCACCTTCCCAACCCCATGAGTACATTTATTATCAAGCATTGTTGCCTCCTCCTTTGTTTCCTCTTACCATCCCTGCCCTCCCATCCCGCTCCCCCACTTTTCTCCCCAAAATTGTAAAGTTCTTTAAAAACAAAATGTCTAAATTAAAACTGATTTACTTAATTTACATCTTCGCTGCCAATTCATTTCAAATACCAATAGTAGGCTGATTTTTTAAAATAAAAATTACAGTTATATATATAGAAATTTCATCAAACCTCGTACCTCTCCCCACAAATCACCAAAAAGAAACAAAACAACAGCAAATAAAAAGTAACAAAATTAAGGGGCTGGGAAGGTGGCTCAGTGGTAGAGTGCTTGCCTTGCATGCATGAGGCCCTGGCTTCGATTCCTCAGCACCACATAAGCAAGAAGAAAAACGCTGGAAGTGGCACTGTGGCTCAAGTGGTAGAGCGGTAGCCTTGAGCTGAAGAGCTGAGGGACATCGCCCAAGCCCAGAGTTCAGGCCCTACGACTGGACCAAAAAAAAAAAAAAAAGTAACTAAGGCCTCTAATTAATATAGTTTTAGTGTGCTCATTTTTCTTTAGATCTTCCTGATTTTTTTTTCACAGAACTTTATGAGTAAATTGAAAAGGACTAAATTCTCTGTTATTGTTGAAATACTAGACTCTTAGGACTTTACTATTAAGTAGAGGCAGAAAATAAAATAATGAGAGAAGGAAGTAACTCAGATTCTAAAGTGAGCCCATGAATCCAGTTTTCCCTTTAGATTAATGTCAATATGAAAAACATTATGTAAATATATCAACTAGTTTGTACCTTATAGGAACACCAGCAGGCAAAATCCACACCCCAGTCATGCAAGTGGAGTTCAATGTTTCCAACTGCATGTGCTAGATCGAAGCCAACAAAACAACCCTAGGGAAGAACATAACTGGTTTGGAATTTGCTTATTGATTGTAAATCATGAGTATACATGTTTCTATGTAAATTATTAGGCACTCATTTGCCTAAAATGTAGGTTCATTCTGTAGTTCACAATGTGTGATTTACAATAGCCAAGGCTACTAGATAAAATAAATTTACATAATTGATACATCCTTCCTTTTTTTGTTAGGTTGATATTCTCACTGATGATGCAGAAGTAGTGATGGAGATAAAAGTCCAGGGACTGAGGGGAAAGAAAGTGGGAGAAAAAAGGGAGGGGGTAACAATGTTCAACAAGAAATGTATTTATTACTTTACTTATGTAACTGTAACCCCTCTGAATCACGCTTATAATATATTAAAAATAACAAAAACACTATAACTTATTCTAAAAATCAATATATGTAATTGTGAAACAAGAATAAAAGTAAAATAAAAAAATCCAGGAGCCTTAGGACCAAATACAGGATAAATCTTTTCTTTCATTCCTGGTAGGATAGGGAGAATTCACTTTAAAATATCCTTGTAAAAGAAGAAAAATTCAGCTTTCATTAGATACACATAGAAAGCACTCAGCCACATTTTGTGATTTGTCTAAAACCAATGCAATTATGCAATTCTTTGAGTTGTAAGCAGAGCTGATCATTTTTGTATAGTAACCAACAGACAATTTTAATTCAGGCTTGAGTATTTGACACATTATTTTGAAAATAAATAAGGTGCCATTTTAAGTTAAATAACTCACACTTTGCTTGTAACCAAAGATAAAGTTAGAGTTTCCAAGAAAAATTAGAATTTTTTAATTTGTGTCTACTTCTATGAACATGTCTACTACCCATTGTTAAGAGGTATTGTTGAAGAGTTATATAAAATTTAAAAATAATTTTACCATTAAATAATCAGTATTTGGAAAGCCTACATAATAAAATACATGGATTATAATGTGTCAGAATTCAGAAAGCTTAGTGACTTACTTTCAAATCACATACCACAATTGCTAAGAAGTTTTCATTCCTGAAAACCTGTTCATTATCAGCGAAAGTCCAGAATTAACTGCAAAAGCTACTAAAATACTCCTGCCTTTTTAAACTATATGACTGTACAAATAAAGATTGTTTTAATGCTCTATCAGTAGAAAAAGAGGAGTAGAAGCTGAAACAGATATAAGGAGCCAGGTTTCTTTTAGGTTAGATATGTAAATAATAGTTACCAAATATAATGCGATGCTAATCTGTTTTGTTGTTTTAGAAAGCCAGTTTTACTAATAACAAACTCCTTTTGTTTATATTTGTTGCCATTCTAAAACAAAAGTATACACATGCATATATATGTAAGTCTTAAAACTGCAGGTACTATAAATAGAGGTAACATATAATCACAAATCCTTTTGTAGATTCTTGATGACTTTTAGAAATGTAAAGTATTTCCATTTCTAAACACTTCTTCAGAACATTTGCTTTGGTACATGCTAGTAATATGAGCAATATTTTTATTTAATATATACATTCTTTATTGTAAAGATGCTGTTCAAAGGAGTTACAGTTACAAGAGTAAAGTAAGGAGTACATTTCCTATGGAGCATTGTTACCCCCTCCTTTGTTTTTCCCCTATCCTCTCTTCCCTCCCCACCTCCCCAACTCCTCCCTCCCAACTCCTGGAAGTTGTAAAATTCATTTTCAACATAGTGTCTTGTACATCTCATTTTTACAATGGGTCAACCTGTATCCTTATTTCAGTATTTTACTATTTCCCTTCCCCTCCCCAAATTAGAAAAGTGTATATATAAGATGCAGGGCACCTGAATCAAATACAGTGAACACAGGGGTTATACTTTGCATTAGCACTTAACCTACATCATGCCCACACTCAATTTAAGCAGTGGAAAACTGGTCTATGGCCATGTACTTGGCCATATAACTAACTATTCAGCTTCTACCAGTGGAGGTACCATAGATTTTCTTCTGCTGGGCTTAGCCATGTGACTTGTTCTAAGCAATGAAATGTCTGCATACTAAACAAAAACACTATGTCCTACCTTCTACCATCTCAGAAAAAAACTTGTTTGGGCTCACCCTCTTGTCCAGATGGAAAAGGAAAGAAACATTTTCACCTAAGCTTTTCTGAATCCCTAATGCTGCCTCATCCCTGGGTGGGCTTGATGCAGACAGAAGTGGGTTCAAGTGAGAGATGAACCAGGTTCTCTAGCTCAGTCTTGATTAGATCATCTTACCTGGAGGAGATCACTCTCCCAAATAATGAGTATTGTTTCAAGTCAACAAGGTTGATAAGCAAGAGCTAACATATACATTCAGAGTAGGGTACTATGTACATGGCAATAGGAGGCATAGTGTTAGTCTACTGGGGGGGCGGGGAACCAACAGTAGAAGTCACAATACAGGAGGTTATGATATGATCAGTAAATGCTTGAGTTTCTCTTAGTTCCTGTCAGGAGACTATCTGTCCATGTTCAGTACTGTTCTGTAAGTACAAATGCATATTTAAATCCACTACACACCCTACTGAGAGCCAACTATGTCATCTGTTACTCAGTTCCTTTTCTTTCTTTCTTTCTTTCTTTCTTTCTTTCTTTCTTTCTTTCTTTCTTTCTTTCTTTCTTTCTTTCTTTCTTTCTTTCTTTCTTTCTTTCTTTCTTTTTTTTTGTCAGTCGTGGGGCTTGAGCTCTGGGCTTGGGCGCTGTCCCTGCACTCTTCAGCTCAAGGTGAGTACTCTACCACTTGAGCCACAGCAATATTTCTTGTTTTCTAGTGGTTTATTGCAGATAAGAGTCTCACGGGCTTTCCTGCCCGGGCTGGCTTTGAACCACGATCCGCAGATCTCAGCTTCCTAAGTAGCTAGGATTACAGGCTGAACCACCGGGGCCTGGCTTTACTCAGTTCCTTTAAATGGATTTCTATCTAATGACAGCAAGAAAAATAGTTATATTGTTTAAGAGATCATGGGTAATTTTGGCTCAATTGTGTCATTCTCATATATCAATGTGAACTTCTACTACCTTCTCAGGATCTGACATTAATTTGTCTTGGTTATTTACAATTGCACTGGTCATCATTATGTTTCCTAAATTTGGAATTCCTGTAGCATCTAAGGAACACATCTATTGACTTAAATGATATTCATGTTATAAACACTTTTAACAACGTCAATTTAATTTTTTTTCTAATACCTCTTACAAGTAAGCAACCACAATCTATTTGATTGGATAAGCCAGTAATCTCAGTATTCAACAGGTGGAATGAATTCTAGGGCAGCCTAAGCTACTTAGTAAGATCTGTTCACTCCCAGAAAAAAAAGTACTCATAAAAAATTAAAAGCATCAATAATCCAATACTCTGGTTATTGGTATTTCTTGCTAACTATGACCTGATTTTTTTTAATGAAAAAAGTGACATTACAATGCAACAGAACTAGTGTAAATACTGACTATAGCTGCATTTGCACTATATACTGCAAGTTCCACAACAGAAAAGATTGCCTTGTTCTTAGTTATAGCATAGTTCTCATAAAGAAAACAATATATTAAAAAATTCATTGCAAACTATACTCAATATAATTATATTTAGTATTTTATAAAAAGAAAAATTCTTATTTATAATATATACCTCATTTTGTTTTCTAGTATTGGGAAGCTGATTTGTTTTTGTTTTGGTGTTGGGAATGGATTTGTTTTTGTTTCTTACCAAAATATAAAAAGATTTACCAATGTATGTTTATAAAAAGACAAGTTCTACATAATATAATACTTAAGAGTGATAGGGAACAAAGGGAATTAAGCTCCAACAACATTTGGAAGTTTATAAGTTGCCAAAATAAGGGCTCTCAGACTAATAAACAGGCTTAGGAGATCCATGTACTCATAATTTTGTATTTTAAGAAAAATTGTGCACCTAGAATTCTATTTGGAAATAAATAATAAAGTCATTCTGAATTTGTACAACTCTTTTATTCATTTCTTAGAACAGTAATCATTTTTAATGAAGACATTTTTCCAACTCAGGTTTTCATAGTTTTTTTTTGTACAACTCAACTTTCATTAGAAAACTTAAGGAGTAGGAGAGGCACTACTTTATTTTACTATTAATTATGTATAAGGAATGGAACTTTGAAGAGGCCACCCAAATTCTCCTCCCAGCCCACAATATTAAAAGCCTTGTGGTCACAGCTGTAGAACACATGAGAAAATCACTTATGGCTGCTATGTTTTAATGCATGTACAGTTCTTTCTTTCAGTGTGGATATCAGAAACATAAATTATTAAAATGAGACTGCTTGGAAGAAAAGACTGGAAGTTGCTAACTTGAACAAAATCATCACAAAATGAAGTCACTGAAATGTCACTAGATGGCAGTATCTTAAAAAATAATGAAAAAAATATATCAAGAGCTATCAGGCACTATCAATATTTTTATTATTTTACCTATAAATGTAGGTAGCATAATATATGCAACAGAAAAAAAAATCTGCACCTTCATGCATACTTTATTAATTTATAAGAAAAAGTTCAAATAATTGCTTGGCTGGGAAGGTGGCTCAGTGGAAGAGTGCTTGACTTTTGCATGCATGAGGCTCTGGGTTCGATTCCTCAGCACCACCTAAGCAAAGGCCAGAAATGGTGTTGTGGCTTAAGTGGTAGAGCGCTAGTCTTGAGCTAAAGAGCTGAGGGACAGTGCTCAGGTACCCAGAGTTCTGGCCCCATGACCAAAAAAAAAAAAAAAGTTCAAATTTACGCATAGATGTTTACTTCTTGTTTGTATTGCCAGGATCACATGTGACTGAGCATTGATCACCCAGCACATCACCTTAATGCCTACTCAACCCCCTAATTATTGCAATCCTGCAAAAGTCATCAGAATGTTTCTACTGGACTTTTCCCCAAAGAACTTTATAATCATATATGTAAATATAAAGGTTTCCCTGTTTTCCTTGGGGAGGGGGACGGAGGGCAGGAGGAGGGACATAAAAGAAAAACACAA